CAAGCTTCAAAAGACACTGTCCCCTTGAGCGACTCAAACTTCTACAGCCTATCGGATATGCTTGCCGCTCGCGTTCATGGCCTCTTTTTCGGAGTGTCTCAACCAGCTTGAAGATGTGATGGGTTTCATGCCGACATGTTGTTGGTGGCAAAAGGGCAGTTCGGATTGACAACTTGCTGAATTCCAATCGACATATGCAGTCGCGCGACAAGTCCCAAATGTAAGTCGCGCTTTGGCCGCTAACAGAACGATTTCTTGGACCGAAGACCAGCTGAACACACCACGTGGCCATTCGAACTTGCATTTTGCTTTAGAACGAAAATAGTAGCTCAATAATCTGTATTCCCACCAAGCTGCCACGGCAGGGCACCTGAAGCGAAATGTCTCCGATTTTTGAATGCCGCTTCAAATTGAGTGGATTAATTTTTCGCAGTGGCACCGCACTCACTGCATTATCCCTAGTTTACCCTTATATTCTGTGATCCGACTTTCGAAATTGGAAGCCACCGATGCAACGGCTATAGCGAAACTCATTATGTTATAGGGTTCATGATAACTGATATCGGTATGCACGGTCTTCATCAACCTGGCGCTCACACCATGAAATCCTGCCAGCGAGACCCAGGTGGCTGAGAAGCATCGGATGACCACGCCCACCTTGTAGCAGTTGTCGCCAGCGCAGTATAACATTAACTAGTAGAAATATTTATCGTGCTGGTGCGTTAATCTGTTTAGGCTGCCATTATGTACTTGATCAGTATGTTAATAAAGCGCCTAGCCATAATGAAATGTTAATTTACCGTAGGAGCTACCCACTGGGTGACTATTAATTACGCTTGAACAGGTATGGAGAATAGAATAAACAGGGCGATTTTTAGAAGTAAAGGTTTTACGGGACGGGAACTCGGAGACGTACATTGACCTTCCGATTCTCAAACCCATAGGGTCTGTTGCTCCTCCATTCACACACCAACTATTCTCAGAGATGTATCTCTAACAGTACACCTTCCTCTTTTTTCGTCCCACTGTTCCTCTTCACTTTTCTACTTTTTTCATTGCGCTAGCCTTTTTGCCCTTATGCAGTCTACCCCCCCCTTGTTCATCTATTTGTTTACCTGTGTTTCTGTTTTGACCTTCCAGCCCTTCGGCATCCCTGGAATGGTGATAGACTTGCCTAGGAGGATGAAAACATTGACCTATACATCGGCTAGCCCTACAACTCATCGGAAAATCAAACGTCCGTCTAAAAAGCCACTATTTTCCCAAATGGAGGCAGAAAAAGCCCCTCCTAAACTTTATCCGACATTATTTAAGCTCCTTTTTCACCATCCATATGTGCGCTCCGACTTCTTCTATTACTGGTTCCCGTAACCGACTCTCAAGCTTTCCTTTATTTATTGTTTTCCCTTTTTCCATTCCCCTACTTTCTCTTCTTTTCCCTAAAAATTTTTTAACATTCAAGCTCCCCACGTTAGTCAGGGCTGGGTCATAGTTCCAGGGCGTAGTCACTTGTCTCAATCCGTCTGATTGAGTCATACATATGACATATAAGAACTCCATAATTTTGGCGTTCTGTTTCCTTATGGGAACAGAGGCTCTTAAGAGGCGGTTACATGAGCGAACGTTCAGACGAGGTCATACAGCACAGCTGTCATATTTTCTCCATAAGGCTGGTGATGTTCATTGCAGCGACAGCAGCTAACGGATGCTCTTTTCTTCAAAATGTGACAATGCTTTGCTCATTCAATGGCTGGCTCGTTTAACCTGGCTATTTTTGGCTCTATCAAGAGCCCAAGAATACTTCATAGCCAAAGGTTTGTTCGAACTTACACAGTGGGTCTTCGGGTTGCATTGTGGCACCTTGCGTCATCCGCAGGCATATTTTGCTTTCAGGCTTTCTTTACTCCAAGTACATGCTCCTCACCTTCAATTCTTCGAAAGGGCACAAATGTTTTGGATGGCCATTGAGGTATTGCAGATGTCAGTCCACGTTACAACCCTGTTTTTGAAATTTCAAGTTAATCTACATCAGGACGCGTACTTCACCACTCCTCACCAAGCCCTCCGCCTACCAATTATAAAGTGCCGAAATTGCACTGAACAGGGATAAATCGAGGTGAAAATGTAAGCTTGAACCTATGTCGTCATCCACCTCACTGATCATTTGTGCCAAATGTGGGTCAGAAATTGGACAACAATGCGTTGCGAGTTATAGAGAGTATCATTTACTAGTAATCGAGGCCTTTTATGGCGCACACCCTTTGCAATCTGTCCGCCATCCTATCGTATATCCGTGCGCCCGTCCGACTCGGCTAATTTGTCACCATCGCACCAATAGCAGTCGGTTCCCATCCGACAGCCACATTTGAGACCGAGCATCGCTCTTCGACAGAGGTTTAGCTTCGTCCGTTGAAGTTTTTCTGGGCCAAATAGTTTCAACAATTATTTTGCTTTCTCTTTTCGATTCTGCTCCTAATACTGCTTCGCATAATTATCAGAGCGCCACCTAAAGTTTGAGTTTTAAGGTCAGGTGGACTATACAATTATATAAAGCAGTATATTTTCACAGTGATCATTACCGTACACCTACTAATAATTTTTACGTGGTCCAGTTTATTCGCAGCTTTTCGAGGTTCATTTTGAGCGTCGTTTGAGTTAGCAAGACCTAAATTGCGCTCCTCCGGTCGACCGTGAGGCTGCCTAGACAAGGCGCTCGAAGTAGTCCATTCGCGCCTTATCTGGGGTCTAGTTGGAGTGCCGTTTGAGTGAGTAAGACCTGACAATGAGCTGCCTTCTGGTACGTTTACATGCACAGGTTCGCGTCGGTAGGATGGAAATGTTTCGAGCCCGTCTGGCGTATTCCTCACTGTGAGGCTCAGTAAGGCTCCAGGGTCATTTGCTACCCGATATGAACTCATTTCAATGAGCAGGCCTAAATGATTTTGCCAAAAGACTCATAACTGAACTCCCTTTTGGATGCCGTGTCGTTCTTCGGTTGAGAAGTTCACTCGAATCAATTCCCTGTTGGGAAGAAAACTCCTAATGTAAAACTACGTCTACACCTCTTTCCCCGAAGAGCTGCGATTGACCAGACGGGAGAACCTTTTAGATGTGGTGCCGATTACTTCATCACTCAACGTTGTGGTTGTCGGTTCCTGATTGTTCCCAGAAAGTTGAAAGTTGAACAGGTAATGTGCTTGCTAATCCTTGGCAATTGGGAGCTCAAATACGGTGCGGAAGACAGGAGCTGACCCAATTGAACGCCTCAGTAAATCCTAATTCCCAGCAAGCTTGTCAAACATACGTAGTGTTGGCCTGCGTCCGCTGGTTCTCAAGGGAGGTGCGGCTCGTCCTTTGACATCTTCACACTGCAATGTGACGCCGTCCGTTGACGGCTGGAGCGGCTTCCTTGAAGACATCAAATTTAATCAAACAGGATGGTGATACAATCTCGCCGACGTCGTTGTCGTTATCTCATAACACTTGAGGAACGTCCTCGGGTATGCCGCCTGCTAGCGGTGTCATCCCATTCCTTGGTAAAAACACTCATTCTATGCCCTGACCATCAGCTATGAACGGACAAGACAGGGACGTCCGTCTTCACGATGTCTTCTTTTGTTGTTCCTCGTTATCGTGACATTTGACGCTGGACCAATTCATTAACGGAACAGCTTTCTTGTCCTTCTGTTATTACTCATACCTCCCCTTGTTATCCTCCTGTGACGAGCACCACACTCTAGACGCTTCATATCAGAGAGCCTTTTGAGGGCATCCGTTCTCCTGGCTCTCTCTATTCTGGTTTCTATGTCACTAGCCTACCCTCTGTTTTACCTCCATATCCAACTTGTCGCTTTGACATTAGCCCTTGTGAATACCTTTGGGTGGAAACTGAGATTGGGGGAAGGGGAGGGGGAAGAGGGTGAACTTCTCATGGTGCTCTGTGTCTCACGCGAATGGCTAGATTGCAGCGGTGGATGGCAGAGCATACCAACGATTCTGAACCAAGGGATGGACATTGTTATTGAACTGAGAAGCGGAAAAGTTAATAGGTAACCATATGAAGTTAGTATAAAGTGTGTAAGTGATCTACGTGTAATACTGTCTTGGTGAGCCGAGGAAAACCAGGAATTAGGTACCTCTTACTCATTGCCATCTCAATCCATATTGTCCATACATAAGCGTAGTCACCCACGAATTTGCCTGAATGCTTTTTCTTGCATATTTTATTTATATGTTTTATTTTTTATTTATATTTCCATATTATATTTACATATTTATATATTTTCACACTTGAAGTCAGAGTTTCGATTGAAGGACTGCCCATAAGAGTTACGGTAGAGATGTCCCAACGGGTGGGGAAGGAATGATAGACAATATCATGAGAATCACTCGAGAAGTAGGATCGCTATCTTACCGGTGTTTTCTGATTGGATGAGCTCTCATTGTTTGATCCATCTCAAAACGGCTCTTTCACTCTGCCTAACGGCAGGAAGGCCTGAGGCGAGTGCTTGGCCAGTCGGTGGGCGTGATGCCGTCGTTCTTAGCGTCGCGGAGAGGGCCATGCTGGGCCACTGGGGGAATATCCTCCCCAGGAAATTGCGTGTTGTTCCGCACCCTCAAGGGAGACCTCCTGCCTTTCCGTTGGTTAATTTTTCACATCTTCGGCTCCGACCTTGTTGTGGAATCCTCCTTTAACTTATTCGCTTCGAATATTGCTATGTTTAGTGTCTTATCCTTTCGACTCCGTGAATCTTTAGATTTTAAAAATTATGACAAAAATCACAAAAAACAATTATTAATTACTTACAACAACAATTCCGACTTGTTTTGCAAGCAGTTATACCCAACTGAAGTGAAAATGAGTATATAGCGGTGTGATATTAGCACTCCTGTTCAGTATGTAGATGGAGATGCAGGTTCAGATCCTGATTGGAAAAAGGGTTCCGTAGGTTTCGATGCTTTATGCAGTCAAAACGTCATCAGATTTTTTTATATCCCTCACAATTGTGTAACAAAATATACAGTTGATTTTCATTTTGGCGCGCCCCCTCTTGTTTCCATTTGAACTGATTCATTCCCATCATCCACGTTCATTATTACATTCTCAATTTCCTTCAGAAAACCTTGCAAACAGATGTAAATGGTTTACTCACTAGGGTTAACGTGACCCGACACCTGCTCAACTCATTATGTTCATGTGATCGTGATTACATGTGCTGTAATCCTCACCATAGGTGTGACAAGATTGCGCAAACAGATATCGGATACTGTAGCCGGATGGTTTACACTCACCGCATACCGTTGCCAACGCTTATAAGCAAAGGTGATTGACAGGTAGAATCATGACCTAGCGATAAACACTGGTGTTAGTCATATTTATGAGGGGCTAAAGGGCACGTGGTGCAATGGCTAGAGGGATCCATCAGACTTACCCAGTGCCTGTACTCCATTCTTTTTTATTGCGTGAAAGTTTCAGTGGGACGGTTCATTCTGGAGACCTCGACATCCGACGAGACTCCTTTAGAATTACAGAAACCATAGCTTAAACAAAGGTTGACCCTCGGAGGTCATTCCAAATCGAATGAGACAAGTCGCATTCGAATGCTGCTATGACTCAAAGTGAAAACAGAATGCGGCGCATTCCGAAAAATACCTAACCTTTCATTCCTTGTTCGTTACCTATATTGAGGTAAGTGAGCAGTTTCATCCTCGTGCCTCCCACGCCGAATGCTTGATCCTTTCCATCTTTTCACACACAGAAGCACACGCGTTTTGAGGAGTGCGCAGGATTTGAGTCTGCCTTCGAAACTGATTTCACAGATGCTTCGAGGGGAAGTCATCACTTCGGCTACTTTGTTCTTCAACATGTCGTGAAGAGTAGTAGCCGCAATAGCTCTTGTGGCGTAATAAGGTAGCTACCAAACATTTCTAGGTATGCATTTTATGAGTAATTAAAATGTTATTTATCGACGTCCGAAAAAAGTCGTCATGCTATGGAAAATTGTCGCAGAGTGAGCGCTTCTTCCGATGATTGGGTGCGCTTCCAAACATCACCACTCGCATGCTCTTGTGAAACGATCAGATTTTCTTGCTTTTTAGGATGGACTTAGAAAAACTGAGATGAGTACCAGTCGATTCCCCATAAAGGGTACGATCGAACCGTATTCACAAGCCAAAATATGTGCCAGTACAACATGTGGAAACCTTTAGAGCTAATTGAGACTTCTGATAAATTTTCGGAGCTTTGCTGCGTTTCCAAACAGATCGGGTTGAAAATGCGGTCCAATAAGTTCCAACCTGAATGTGTGATGTGCATGGCGTGACCCAAAGGATCGTTCCAACTCTTTGAATCAGCTACGCCTTTGACCTGTAGCTGGCAAAGTATAACCTGCCAGATTATTTCTCTCTGTTGTTCCTTTGGTAAACCTACCACTTAAGGTCCATTCTAACTGCTCATTGCGACTCGAGAGAAATTAAGACCAATTAGCGTCAGGTTACGGTAGCGTGATGCCAGGTGTAAGTGAACTCGCTGGAATTCCTCAGGCTATCTCATCTTCATCGCATATTGATGGCCGTGGCTACCGTATACCAATCTGCACGATATAATTGGATGGAAATCATGCCTCCAGGAAAATGCGCGTTCATATGCGGTGAGATGCGGGTGTGGATAATGTATGCATGTATGCCAAAGAGATGTATACCAGATGTGAATATTGTTGAGAGGTGTGAGGCCTCATTTCGTATGTAAACGATCAAGGCGCGGACCACAACACAGCGGGAGTCGCGTCCCGCCGTTGGCATTGGCGTCAACGCCTGGGAAGACCACAAGGACGAGGGCGAGCCGGGAGTGAGACGTCTGTCAAATACGTCTGACTTTCTTCATTTACTCTTTTCTCTTATTCACCTGAAATCATTAGAACACTTTTTCATAGCGGTTTTGGTTTGGAATCGAAAGGTGCGGAGTTTTGGCTGACGATCTCAGTGTAGTAAACGAGAGAGGTCTTGCACTCGTCTGGAGTTGTAGAAACCAGGATGCTTTCGTTATAGTCCAGTTCTCAGGGGCAGCTCACTTCCCTTACTTTTGACATATATCAGTTTTTAAGGGAAGAAGGGAACCACATCTTTCCCTTCGCCTTCTTATGTGTGTTAATCTTCGCACAAGGAGCGAACTGGGAGATTATCCCAATTAGAGAATTCAACCAAGGGTTTGTGATCATTGGTTAGGTTATCTGTGACTCTTATAGTTTCTGTTCCATGGATCTTATCACTTCCTACTGCTGCTTCGTTTCTCGCGGTGATTGTTATAAAAAAAGAAATCTAGAATGCTATTGACTCAATTCAGAATGGACGGTACGGTAACGAAGAAAGCGCGAGTCTGGAACCCAGCTGTTGACAACGATATGGTCAAGGACAAACTTCACTCCGATCAAGATCAGTCTTCAAATGACATTCCAGTCGACTTTTCCCGACCGAGCAACCCTTCTCTACCGCTATTGATACAGGCAAGTCTCATTTAATGAATGAATGGCGCTGTCCTAAAATCACCTAGCGGTGTGAGCGCTACAACTTCCTCAACCCTGCTGAAATTCAGGTCCAAGTCTATTCGGCTATTTCTATGACAGCTAGAAGCTGGAAGAAGTGTTGAAAATTCAATGGGGAGGGTGAATTAAGCCGATGGAAGGGTTAGTGAATGGGTTTAGCTTGTGCTGCACGGAGTAGGACACCTTGCCGTGATTCTTTCAGAGGAATTGAATCGGGAGGAAGAGACACCATTTCAAGCAAATTCTGTGCTACGCCTAGAGTTTCCGAGTTAATTGTAGCGCCCCGAACCAAACATGCTTTCTGTCCCTATCGAATCTCCTTAACCATCAGCCCAACTGATAATCGTACGCCGTTCAAATCTGCCAGGCCTTTCATCTTCATGATGTCCATGAATTTGGGTCAGACTTTCTAGCAAATTATAAAAACTAACGTTGAAGCATGGTCATGATGTAGGTCAAATCACATTCATTCTGTCATTAAGATGTCGAATGGGCGTAGAATACATGATTTATCCCGATAGGGATTGATTAACGTCGATTGTTCATCCTTTAACCCTTAATACTCAAACGTCGGCATCAGCTATGATTCGGGCACAAGAAGTGAGACCTATCTGGCCTATACCCTTCTGTTGAGGTGCGCTCACATTCATCCTTTCTTGGAAATTGTAGTTACGGTTGAATCCAAAATATTCGCGTAACTATTCGCCCTATGACTGCCTGCCACTAATGCGGCTGTAGAAAAACAAAATACTTGGGTTGTTATCAGGAAGTTGAACGCCTGGTCAATACATGTGATAGCGTCGCTTTTTGGCAATGTCCATTACGCTCATGATCTTTTCAAAAGTCAAAACATTGTTTTTAATTTTGGTCAATTCAGAATTACTTTCATTTGGCACGCGTTCAACAACAGCGAGTTGTCGAGGAGGCAATTCGACGAGGTTTCACTCAACCATTCCCCATGCAGCCAATGCCGATGATGACTCGAGCTCCTCCTCTTCCTGCTGTTATGTCATCACAACAAACTATCGGTAAGTTAGTAATCTATCGTGGATTTTTGGGATTTTTGAATTCACTTCTTTGTTTGAACTGACAAAAGCAATGAATTACCTCCCCCTCCACCTTCTCCCCCTCTCAGACTGTAGTTCGTGCTAGAGGCAACCGCACCTAACGATCTTGCAGCAGTCATGCCGCATGATATAAAGACAGATGCTGCGATGACTTGGTTGACAGCATGGAATGCAGCGGAGCTGACGAGAAGTACAGCTGTAAGGAGAAAACTAATAAGGAAAGGCTCCTAGGTCGCCATGGCCATTCAAGAAGAGATGTATACCCTAGATGTGCCTTCGAACGCTGATCTCAAATCTACCTTCCAAATCTGCTAAACGATTCTCTGAACGGAGTTATGAAGCAAAACAGCGCAACGGTAGTGGTCGGGACTCACAGTCAAAACGTCGTAGGATCGGTCCCTCATCGTGTTTACTGTTTTCCATTCTTCAGGAATACAGCTAAACGGCTTTAATAGCTTATTTAACTGAATTTTTGAAGAATGCAAAACAGTAATTACGATAAGGGA